TGCCAAATAACTGTAGTATATCAGTAGCATAATAGTAGCATATAGGTTAGATATTGGGAGGTAAATCGATAACAGTAATATAACAGTAACATATCGGGACATCCTGGTATTTTACACTTAGTCCAAATAGTGCTAAGAGTAAAATACCAGAATGTCATAGTAGGTTACTGTTATGTTACTATTATCATTCTACCTCCCGATATCTAACCTATATGTTACCATTATACTACCGATATACTACAGTTATTTGGCAGATCTATAGTAGAATAATGGGTACATATTGGAAGACTTGTCTCTGATATGTACCTGTTATTCATTAATTCAACCTGTAGTATTTAGTGAAATTTTGTTTAATAGTGATCTGATATTAAGAACTATTAGATTTAAATATTTAAATTCAAATTGTTATTAAATTAGTTATAAAATATATAAATAAAGATTTTATATAAATTTAAATAAAAATATTTTATTTATTAATAAATGTAATTAAAAAACATACTATAATATCAAATATACAGTATATTTATAACAATTCTATATTAAAAAAATAAATTACCAAGTGTTTATTTTATTAATTGCATTTTGTAAATCTAATTCAATTTTTTCTTTTTCATTAATTTCAATATTTTCAGGATCTTCTATTGAATTACTTGTATCTTCTTCTTCATTTTCATCTTCATCTTCATCTTCTAAATCTTCTTTAGTAAGTTTATCTTTATCTTTAGCTTCTAAACGTTTTACAAATGCATTTACATTATTCCATATTCCTTCTTTAAAATATTGTATACAATGCTTGCATTTGAGTTCCATTTGATTATAACAATTTCAATGATATCCATGGCCACATATCAAAATTGTTCCATCAGAATCTTGCTCAAATAGTTTATAACAATAATCACAACCATTAAAAATAGGTAGATATGTAGTATGATATCCTGCTGGTAATACTCTTTCATCTATATCATCTATAGTAATAAATTCAATATTTGAATCTTTTTTATCTTTTTTAGATTTTGGTTTTGGATTTGTTGTAGATAACATAGCATTAGCTTTTAATTTTTTTTGATATTCGTCAAAAACTATTTGAAATTGTTGAAGTAAAAATAAACATGTCTTGTTAGTTAAAAAATCTAATTCAGATGATGAATATGGATAATGTTTAGTATTCATAAATGCTTCTTTAAATGCAGAATGTTTATTAGCATCTAATAATAAATATAATTATTTAGTATTTATATATTTTAAAATTATTAATAATTATTAAATTTTAAAATACCTAATAAATATGCTTGTTTTTGAATATCATTTGCATTATCTTTGCATGTTGTTGATGCTCTAATTCTGCTATGAATATTTTCAATCCAATAATCATTAAAATTAACTAAAAAAAGCTTAATTGCTTCTTTTATAGGATGATTATTTTGTTTCTAATAAAATATATCTGATAAAAATGCTAATGGAGCTTTGTTGTAATTTTTACGCTTCCATCTTAAAGCAAAAGTCCAGATACAAAAAATTGTTTCAAGATATTCGTCAAATGATCCTAATTGAAATAATACAGCATATATATCAAGCACTGCTGGAATAATATTATCTAAAAGATCAATTATTGCTTAATATTCAGTAAATTTGCATAAAGCTCCAAATTTTTTTATTATTAAATCTCTAATTTTAATCCATGCACTATATGCTAATTTCAAAAGTAAATTTATTCTCCATGGTCTTGGCTTTTTAGCAAATTTTTTACATAATCCAAATACACTATGAAATAATTTTTTAAAGAAGCTATAATAAATTTTTATAACTTGCTCTCTGCTATTAAGACTAACATGTAATGGTCCAAGAATAGGAACAAATGAAATTACTCCAGGTGAAATTTGTGCTTTTAAATCATCTTTATGTAAATGAGTAATAGCTCTCCTGGTATTCTGATAAATCTTTTTTCTCATATATACATAGCCTGATTGGTGTGATGCCTTGCTAAAAACCTGGTCCTTGTTTGGTTGGCTATTAGGTCTGATTGCCAATGATCTTCCTTTATATAGTACCATCAAAGATTTGTATTACCTCTCCAATTGGGACTTGCTAAGCAGGCTTCTGTATGCCTGATCTCCTGAATTTACCCAGATATATCACTTGGGTTTCTTGTAACTCTTGCATTACACTACTGTTTCACATCCTCCCAGTACTAACTGATATGACCAAGGTTACAGATGCTGATCTGTCAGATTATACACAGTTTGCCATAACATATTTTATAAAATTCAAATTTCATTGCCAGTAGGATTCAACTCTTGTTTTGCTACTTGAGAGTGTGACAACTTACCAACTTCACTAAGTTGCCACACCTATAAGTTATTTTAATAGGTTTATTACAAGAATAAAAAACCTATTTATATAAAAATATATGTTTGCTTTAAAGTTTTAGAAGGTCTTAGCAACAAATTTCTTTTTGATGATAATATCTAACAGTATAAGGTTGATTAGAAAGTTTAAATAGGAGATCTATAGATGAATCTTAAATATAGCAATTAGTAAGTAATTATAGATAGAAATGGATATAGTAAAGCCTTTAAATAGATAATGACTAAAGTTGTATATATGGCTAATTATACTCTTATTAATATAATAATGTCAAGTATAGTCTTTGTAACTATATTAGTATTAATCAAAGTTTAATAAATCATGTTAGACCTCCAAGTAGTTACTTTAACATTAAAAAAAATTTTAATTAATAAACTAAATTTTGATTATATATGAAACTACCCAAAACACCTTAAGAAATTTTGTATAGCTAATCAAATTGTAAATTAAATATAATATAAAAAGTATATACTTTTAAAAAATTGATTATAGTACAAACTTTTATTTATAAAACCACTTTTTGTATTTAATAAAAAATTTTTTTGTCAAATTTTAGTATATATTATATCTTATTATAACCTTAATACTAATTCTAATATTACAGTAATATTTTAGTGCTTTAAATCTTTTATTTATTCAATTGTTTTGTTTTTTATTTTTTTGTATTATTTGATTTCAAAAACTGATTGGCTAATTTGTAAAATTTTGAGGATTATTTTATACATAAAGATTATTATGTGACTACCAATTTTTTATAGCACCACTAACCTACTACAATTTTACTTTACTTTAACCCTAACTCCAATTCTATTTATAACCTAATTCTAATTTCTATTGCAGGCTCAATTTTGCTATAGAGGCACAAAGTGTATATGCACTGTTTAGATTTTTCTTTTTATAGAAATTTGTATAAGGTATTAAAAATTATTTAAAACCATCTAATCAAAAAAACTACTTTATATATTATTAAATATATTATTACTTGATTTATACTGTACAGCTTAATAAAATATATTATTTGACATTTTATAATTCATTTAATGCTGCATTAGAATATAAAACTTTTATTATGTTAGATAATTATTAATTAAACTTTTTTTATGCACGATATCTCAAAAATATAATCATTAGCGTGGGCGATAAATATTTATAACTGTTACAATTAACGATATTGATATTGTTAAATAATTATAATAACACCTTTGTATAATTTGTGTTTATACGATAAAAATTAATTCTTAATGAAATAACAGCCAAAAATTTTTTTCTATACCGGTAGTATATAATAGTATACACGTATGTAGTATATGTAATTAACATTATTTTTACTTCAATTAAGTATAGTAATATATCGAGAGTTTTCTTTATCAAAAGTATCTTGCATCATATCAAGAATTTACTTGATGTCATTTTAACATAGAGAGAATTTAATGCGTCAAAGATAAATCAATTAAATGACGACAACATGAGAAAATTATTTGACGTGAAGAAACATACGATGACGGAGAAAATATGTTCATGTGATTTAATTATTTAAAAGAATAAACTTACATAATTCGAAGTTAAAAGTAAAAAAAATTTGTCTTGTATAAACTATTATAAAGTTATAGATCATATAAAATGACGTTTACAAGTTACAATCATTAATATGATTGAAAATAGGCAAGAAAAAAAATTAAATTAAAAAATACTTCTTTTAGAAAAATTGAATAACTAGAGAAATTTAAACTCCGTGGTATTTTTAATATGGATAGAATTTTTATGAACAGATCAATGAATGACGGTATAAACTTGTAGACTTGCGATATTGTACATTGATATAAACTTCATCTTTATTCTTTTTTTTTTTTGTTTCGTTTTAATAAAATTTAAATAAATTATACTAGTCAGTTGTTGTCATACTTTATTATAATAACTTATTATTAGAAGTAATCTCATATAAATAGGCACAGATTTTTTTTATCAGTTTTTAACTCGCGTTTATTTTTTTTACTATTCATAATTGATAATTGACGCGTTGCGCTGATCCTTGTTTATTCGAGTTAAAAGTAGTCTATTCGTGTTTTTTATCCGTTTTTTCATTGTGCAATATTTCTTTCCCTAAAAAAAAAAAGGGAAAAAAAATGGAAACCTTTCATGGTAAAGTATATTTAAAGTATAAATTATTTTTTTGATTTACTGATGAGGAGTCCGTTTATGCCAAAGAAAGTTTAAAGGAGTGGCTTTGTGACTCTCACGAAAAAAAAAAAAACGATAAATAGGATTGATCGAGAATACTAAAGACGCCTTCATCATATTCGGTATGTCTTGTTATATTTGACGTATTGTTTTATGATGCCTTATAATTCTTGTGATTCTTGTGTGATTCTTGTGTGATTCTTGTGTGATTCTTGTGTGATTCTTGCGGTGATTTTTAAAATATATTTTTTATTATTAAATGTTTATAGAAGCATGCCGACTCGGAATATTGCAAAAAACATCTAGACGTCCTCTTGAAGAAGAAAGGCAATCTCTTGTACCTGGATCGGTGTAAGAATGATACACTTTTTAATTTTACTTTATCTGGTTTATTATCAAAAAAAAATAAATAAATAAACAAATCTTTTTTTTGTTTTAAAGATTCGTGTACGACGAAAATGAAGCAGGAATTAAACGTTGGACCGACGGAAAGTAAGACAAAGAATAGATATAATAGATATGATTAATAAATATAATTTATATATTATTAATCTATATATCTTGTCATGTCGTAGATTATGGTCTCCAAGTAGGATTTATGGAGACTTTTTGCTTTATCAAGAGCTGGAGTCGCGCCTTAATCACATAAAGAAATACGAAGATCTTGATGAAAGTATTAGGGAGAGTATTCAAAAAGAAAATAAAAAGTTTCATGTGTCCAACAAAGGCACATTTGTGTATAGTAATGAAGGTTTGGTGAAGAAAACCATTTCAGCAAATGTTGATGGCAGTATTCAACATATGATCGTATATGAAGATAAGCAAGGTCATTCTCTTTCTCTTTTTTATGATATATTTTTTTTATACGTTACGTTTACCTGAAAAATACCTATTTTGATGCACGCAACAGGTCATCACGATGATCTATATCCACCTCAGGCTTATGTTGAATTATCAAATCTTATGCCAAGTCCAGCAATTACGAAAAGCGGAGCTTTACGCAGGGCATCCTCATCATCCAAAACCGGTAATTCCAAATATTCATTGCCAAAAATCCAAGTAAGTATAAAACAAAATAATGAAAAAAAATGAGAGATTAAAATAATAACAAATTAAGGATAACCAATTTAAGGATAACCAATTCAAGGACAATCAATTCAAGGACAATCAATTCAAGGACAACCAATTCAAGGACAACCAATTTAGAGATAACCAATTTAGAGACAACCAATTTAAAGAAGAACAATTTAAAGAATTTAAAGAAGAGCAATTTAAAGAATTTAAAGAAGAGCAATTTAAAGACAACCAATTTAAAGAAGAACAAAAAATAATATTCACACTTCCACCCAATCCATTTAATGCATTTCAATTCCAATCGATTCCAAATTTTTCTGGTAAAACTGATGCATATTCTCCTGTGATCACGCCGGTTAATGGAATGTTTGATAATGGAGACCATCAAACGTTTAGAGATATTTTACCAGGAACTGTATGCTGTCATAACAAGCCTATTATTATGAGGGAACCACTTATTCCTTCATCTTTACCATCACTTCCTGATGTTATCAATCCGCAATACTTTGAGGTAATTGGTTACTCACGATATTAAAGTTGAAAATTGAAGGAATTAAAGGGGTACTCATTAGGATTAAATGGAGTTAATTGCAAAGAAAATTTAATAGTAATGATAAATGTATTATATGTTTGTGTATACCGATAAATAATCTGAATGTGATTTGAATATATAGATTAATTACATTTGCTGCAATTAGGAAAAATAACTTTTTTGTTTTTTCTCATAACTGTTGTTAGACTGTAACCATATAGCTCTTGCATTATCAAGTGTATCAATATTATTCAATGATTCAATGATTTAATGACTTTATGAAAATACGTAATGTTTGTAAAATTTATAAAGCTTATTTTTTTCATTTATTAGTTTCATGAACAATTCTATCGTTGTTTTTAATCGTTTCATGATTAAGTTTTACTTTGAAACAAATTATCAATACCCTGAACAAATAATATTACATTTTCTTTAACGCATCTGACACCAAAATTTAATCTTTATTACTGTTGAATTTTATTAATAGATTTATGATTGTTACAGAAATTGTATTATATTGATATAAATAGATAATGTAATTCAATTACTGAATTAAAGAGAAAATTCTAGACATATCATCCGAGTCATAAAGCAAAACCATGAATCATGCGTTCTTTTTTAGGTTCCAAGTTCAGGTTTAAAAACAATATAATATCAGATATCAGATATTGAGATGTACTGTACGTACGAACAGTACGTGTGCATGCATACTTAATATTTGAGGCATATTTAATATTTGAGGTATACCTAATATTTGGGGCATACTTAATATTTGAGTATACTTAATAGTGTATAATCAACATTAGTATAATATTTTCATAATATTCTCATAATATTCTCAATGCAGAGATTGAGATTCTTTTTAGTTGTTATCCAAGTTTGGATTACAAGCCCACGCATGTCTTTACATACAGTTTTGTTTCTTTGATTAAATGAATATATATGCTTAAAATGCAGATCATAAAAAAAAAACAATTGGAAATTATGGAAATTATGGCAGGTTTCATAACGATCATTTCTTTTAAATTACTTGTCTTCTAAAAATGTTTAATGATTCTTCATTGCGTTTTGCGTTTATTGAGCCAACAAATTATTAGTGTTACACGAACTGTCACGTACAGTACATACAGTACGTACACGCGGAATTTTAGGTTAAATGTCACATTGTGGCCGAGGGTTACCATACCTGTATGACGGTAGAAAAAAAATATTTTAAAATATAGAAATAATTAAGGTCAGTGATGGAGTGATGATGATCTACATGATCTACGAAATATGATAACAACTTTGACACCATATTGTTATTAGTTAGAATTATTAAGAAGAGTGTGAGTAATTTAGTAGAATTTATATATTCAAATAGATTCAAATAGATTCAAATAGATTCAAATAGATTCAAATAGATTCAAATAGATTCAAATAGATTCAAA